AAAAGGATCTGTATCTCTAGACCAAGGAAGATGAGAAGAAAGAGGTCAGGAACACCCTTCTACTTCATCACCTCCTTGAACAAAAGGAAAATTAAATAGAAATAGCAAAAGGTAAACCTCTTCATGCAACATGGACCTCCCTTCAGGAGAGGAGGAATGCTGAGATAGGGCTGGCCCAGGTGGTAGGCAAATAATTCCTTTGGAATACAAGGACTCTTCAAGAGCAAACAGAGAAGGTAAGTCTTGCTGGAGCTTCTCCCTGAACACACCTCTTTCTGCCCCTGCCCCAGGAGCACTGAGGGAGAGGAAAGGCGTCTATAGTCTCCTGGTTCTTCCTCAGTCCCTGCATCCCATTCCATGGCCAATTGAAAGTCAGCTGTAGGCACCTCCTGCCTCACCCCATTTTATTCCACAGCCCTGAGCCCCGGCTTCCAAGGCCCAGACACTGTGCTAGGCACAGTGGGTACACATGACAAAGACATACCCTTCAAGAGAGATTTGTGCTCAGACATTTACAGTAGTAAGTTGACGAGAAGCACTGTAATTGTGATCCTCTTTTCTGAATCCAAAATTGAGAGATGTAGCCTAATTTGTACAGTGCCCTTATGATGATCACAGAATAGAAGGTTCAAATCAGGTCTGAACCGGAAATCCTGGGTCTATGAATTCTGGAACTCTTAACACATGCATATGGAGAGTGATAAGGTCCAACACACACGACTGGACATTTCCTTATCGCCCTGGATGAAGAGGGCAATATTTTATTCCCACTGTCATCTTTGTTATTACTATTATTATTATTCTTTGGCAGAAGAGGCCCTTTCCCCTGGAGTCCTTCCTCCATCACATTCCTAGGGACAGAAAGGAAGATCCTGTTTACTTCCAATCAAGGGAGTTGATTCTGGGGTTGGCCAGAACCAAGCGAAACAGGAACTGATTCCTTAAATCTTCCAGCTTGATGCATCAGCCTCTGAGAGAAGGCAGGGCCAGTTAACAAAGTTTTATTAGCATTCCTACCTATCCTTAGCCGAATTTCTGTTCAACCTGGCCTCATTTCTTTCAGGCTTACCTCCTGCGCAGATTAAGATAGTTGCTATAATTAATCATGCCCCAGTCCCTAGTTCAGACTCACCACATTCAGATTTCAATTTAAAAAAAAAAAAAAAAGGCTGGATGTCTGCATACAAAATGTTCTTTGTTGCTGAGGCAGCCTCCTTTCAGCTTAAAGGAGGGAGTTCAGAAAGTGAAGGAAAGAGAAAAGGTTTCCAGGCCCTCTCTGCAAAATTTGCACATACGTGTAGGGATTGAGGATGATCTATGCTCCCAATCAGAACAAATTAAATGTTAAAAAATAAATATTAAATGCAATCATGTCTGGCATCAGTAATCATTGCACAAATGTTAGATTATTGTTATTTTTTACCATTATAATAACTATTACTACTATTATCATTAATTCTCAGTGCCTCTGACTTCCCTCCTTTTGGGATATTTAAAGATTCTGTTGTTGTCTCTATTAAAATGCAAATGTTAGCAAAGAGTGGGAGGGAGTAGGTTTGGGAAGGTGAGTGGGAAACCACTTCTGTGATTTTTGCAACATGCATACTACTACTTTTGTAATTAAAAAACAAGACGGGAGGAGATTGGGATGGAAGGAGCAAGAAGAAAAGAATTTACCACTGAAACTGCTATCTGCCAATCTCTTAGCATTATCTTCACAAATCTCCAAAACAGCACTGAGAAACAAATCTTACTTCCCAATTTGCTTAGAACTTGTCCAATACTCCAGGCCTTAGCTGAGCGCAGGAGGGAAGTCATCTCTGACTTGAGGAGAGGGGCTCACATTGGACCTTAGAGAGGGAACGAAATACTGACCAGAGGAGACTGCTCAGCTGTATATTGTTCAGTGAGGGGGGAGGGGAGGGGAAGGAGAGGAGCAATGATGTCTAAGCCCCAAGTACCTTCCAAAAGCCCAACTTGAGTGGAGAAGCCCACTTACAGGCTGAGGAACCTCCCCCACCTCAATTAAAATATATAGAAATGAGATTCTGAGTCAGTAGGTGGTGCCCTGTTATCTATGTTTTTCTCAAGCACCCTCAGTAATTTGGAATTGTGATCTGCAAATTCACTGCGTTAGAAACCATCTACTCCAACTACTGATTGTGCAAACAGAGACCTAGAGAGTCACCCAGCAAATGAACAGCTGATCCAAAGCCAGAACTCTGATCTGAAAAAAATAAAACAGGACTCCTCCTACTTCCCAGTGAGAACAAGGTGAAGAGACTGGGGAGGAGGGGCGCCCGAAAGATGCCATTTCACATCTAATCGCTTCTTGTCACGTTTTACCCATTTTCCTCATATGGAGCCCCACGCTGATGGATCAGAAATAACATTTTCAAAGTTATATCTGCAAGGAAATGGCTATTAATGTTCTTCCTCTCCTTTTAGAGCGCTGAGGAATACATATTAATTTTCTCTCTACTTATATTGCCTATTTGCAAATTGTATTCACTACTCAGTGCTCCAATTTGTCCTACCCCTGAAGAGATTATGATGAATAAATGTGTTCCTGGAAATAAAATAAAATAAAAAATTTGTCACTGAGATTTATTTTTATAATTATTTACAGGAATTATTTTAGAATATATGGGGGGCAATAATAATAATGCACACTTGAGGGTTCT